GCAATGTTTGAAGTTAAGGTGCACCTGATTCAGGCCATGGTCTTCTCAGTCACCTGCTATGCATCACAGAGCTGGACAATGAATAAGGAAGACAGAAGAAGAATTGGTGCCTTTGAGTTGTGATGTTGGAGAAGAGTACTTACTGTCCCATGAACAGTCAAAAAATCAAATAAATATGTCCTGGAAAGGGTGTGGCCAGAGTGCTCTTTGGAGGCAAGGATGACAGAGCTTCATCTTTCATACTTTGGACATGTAGCTAGGTAAGGTTATTCCTTGAAAAGGGACACCATACATGGAAAAATGAAGGACAGCAAAGGAGAAGAAGACACTGAACAAGATGGATTGACATTGTGACTTCAGCAATGGGCTTTAGTATCTCAGAGATGTTGAGGATGGCACAGTATAGGGTAGATTTTGGGTTGGCTAAGCTGCAGAGAGTCAAGGACTGCAGCCTTGCAGCCTTCAGTATGGATTGAGGCTCGATGTCAAGAAGACAAAGATTCTCACCACTGGACTAATTGGCAGCATCAGGATGGATGGTGAAGAGATTGAGATTGTTAACAACTTTAGTCTGCTTGGCTCCAATGTTAACACTCTTGGCACCAGTAGCCAGGAAATAAAAAAACGTATTGCGATGGGAAAGTCTGCGGTTAGGGACCACTCCAGGGTACTGAAGAACAATGGTGTCTCTCTGGATACTAAGATCCACCTGATACAGGCCATGGTTTTTGAAATCACTCGTTATGCATCAGAGAGTTGGACAATGACTAGGGAGGACAGAAGGAGAATTGACGCCTTTGAGCTGTGGTGCTGGAGAAGAGTATTGAATGTACCATGGACTGCCAAGAAAACAAACAGATTCATCCTAGAGAGGGTTAAACCAGGCTACTCCTTGGAGGCAAGGATTTTGGGGATTCATCTGACATACTCTGGACATGTTATAAGGTGGGAGAGGTCCTTGGAGAGGGACATCATGCTTGGGAGGGTGGAGGGATGGTGCACCTCTATGAGATGGATTGATTCAGTGACTGGGGTAATCGGGATGGGTGTGTCAGAGGCAGTGCGATTGGCACTGGATAGAGCAGTGTTTAGGGCTGTTGTACATAGGGTCGCTATGAGTTGCAAGCGACTCGATGCACATAACAACAACAACAACATTCCTAAGATCGCTGTGAGTACTACTCAACTCCATGATGACTAACAACAAGGAATGTATTCACTGCATCTTTTATTTGAAACATGTCAATTGGTATCTAATTAATTCCTGGTGTCTTATTTTTCATCAATGTCTTCAATGTAGCTTGAAATTTTCCCCTCATTACCACTAGCTCTTTATCACATACTACTTCATTAAATATTTCAGTGTTGACTAGTTATTTTTAATCCAGTACTAGTTATTTTTAATCCAGTACCTCAATGTATTTCCTCCTTCTTTTGATGTTTTTTTGGATCATTTGAGACTTTCCCATAGCATCTCTCAGTATTGCAACTTGAGGATTGAATTTGGGTGTTGTTTTCTTTCTTTTGAAGATAGCTACCTTGTCAACTGATGGGAAGAGATCCATATGTGTTCCCATTCCCAAGACAGTTGATCTGACAAAAATGTGGAAATGATTGAAAAATATCATTAATATCACATTCAAACAACATATTGTTAAAGATATATTTAAAAAATTACTAGAAAAGGGCATTGAAAGAGAAGTTCTAGCTAGATTTAGAAGAGGCCATGGCACTAGAGATGCCACTGCTGATTGATATTGTGACTGTAACCATGGACTAGAGCATATCAGAGATTATGAGAAAGATCAAGGGTAGGGCTAAATTCCAATCTGTTGTTGATAGTATTGCTATGAGTTATCGTCAACTTGATGGTACCTAACAACCAGCAATAACTACTTATTGGGTGCTACAAATTGTTTACACTCAACTGCTACTCTCGACGTTGACAGTTCAGACACAGCTAGTGGTGCTAGGGAAGAACGCCCTGGCTTTCTTCCTTAAATCTTTCCTTAAAATATTTTGGCAAAGAAAATCTCTGCAGTTCTAAGCTATAACACGTAGAGATGCTTTGAGTAAGAACTGACTCAAGTAAAACCTGTTTGGTTTGCTTTTGCATAATTTCATGCCTGACTTGGGGCATAGTGCCAAAAGAACTAAGATGAAGAAGCTGCATTCCCCTTACACTCTATGCAAAAC